GGGTTAGTAAGGAGGGAAAGAGAGCATGAGCTCATGTTATTGTTGAAAGGAAATTACGTAGGATGCTAAGGCATATTTCTTTTTACCTGGTAAATATGTTTAAGACTTAACAAAATAAACTTATTTTTACTTCTTAGGGGCCAATATTACTTTGTTTCTCTGTGTGTCTGTGTCCCTTTCACCCTCATGAAAAATAAAAATAAACTTAAAACAAAGCACAAGTTTATTTTGGCACAAATAAAAAAATTAAATCCTATTCATAGTTTTCTTCTTTTTTAAAAATATGTATTTTCCATGAACTTTTTTAAGAAATCTTTTTTTTTTTAATTTTATTTTTTTAAATTAAAAAAACAAAAACAAAACTAAGACCAGCAAGTGGTATAAACTTAAAACAAAGCACAAGTTTATTTTGGCACAAATAAAAAAATTAAATCCTAAAAAAAAAAAAAAAAAAAATTCAGTGTCTGACACAGAGTCGACCTTCAAATGGGATCTTTATAAAGCTTTAAAGTTAATTTTCTTGCTGCATATATTATGTTCCACATAAAATTTCTTAAGAAACGAAGTCCTAGACTATGCAAATCAAATACAAAAGGTGTTATTTCACTTCTTTTTACAAAAGTACATATGATAGAAATATTGCATTTTGGATAAGAAATGATTCTGCTGCCTCATTGCAGCATTTTAAATAAAGCCTTTCAGGAATACCTGCATAGAACTGATGCCAAAGGAAGAAAAAATTTGATTTTATTGGAAAGAGCTGAAGTCATTACTTTTATGAAGCTTTATAAATGTCATTCAAACACACCATCTTATTTTCATTTGCTATTGAAGGCTTTACTTATGCAAATCATGACAAATGTTAAGGAAGCCAGTGTTTCCTCTGGAATGCTAATAGAACCACAAAGAAGGGAGGAAGAATTACTTCTGAAGGAAAAATCTATATTGCAGCTCCTCCAGTCAGATAAAAATGAAGCTTCCAGAAAACCTCATTAATTAGTGCTCTGCTCATTTAGAGAGCGTGTTAAAATGCAAAAGAATTGGAATGCATTTGCTTCTCTTACAGGAGGGCAAATTTAATCGCATAAACACAATTTTAGGGGGAACATTATTTCTTGACTGATTGTATAAAACACTTCTCAGCTTTCAGGCATTTTATGGTACTTTGTAATTTTTAATTTTATTTATCAATTTATTTCTTCACTCCGTAATTTAGACATTCATTCATATATTCGTTCCTTTGGTCACATTTTCACTCATGTATTCCTTCAATAACCATTAAGATGCAAAGTGCTGTGGTAAGCACAGTGGGAGAAAGACAGATGAATTAGTCGTGGATTTTGTTCTCAAAGAGTTCATAGTTTGAGAGAGATGACAAAAAAAATCTACTGAAAAACCCAACAGGGACTAAGATGGCAGGATGACATACTTGAGTCTCTCTCCCATTCCTGTCCCTAGCATCTATAAATGACAGAAGACATGCAGTTAAAAATTTCATAGCAGCACAGAGCACTCTTTGTGGTCAAGACATTTTTAAGGAGTCCCTATAAACTGAGAAGGCGAATGGAATTAGATGGAGGGACATGCTGGAAAATGTGGGAGCAGCTGTGGGGCATTTCTTGTTCTGAAGAGAAGCGCTCTGGGGCAGCTACCTGACAGAGTAACTGGCTTGCAGGCTTTCTCATCCCACTTTCTTCCCATGTGAGAAGGTCTGACCTCCGTGGAAGCAGGAGGCGTTCCTGAGGATGGGGACTCCAGAAGCACAGCATGACTGCTGGAGCTGGGATCTGACATTCAGGATGGAGGATCCCCACCAGGGAGACGTCCACTGGTTTACTGACCAGCAGCATGACCTGCCCTACTCTGCCTCTTACTTTCCTTACACGAGAAGGAGAAACCAGCAGGCTTTTTTTCCTCAAACATTTGACCAAGGAGGCAGAGTGTAGCTAGACAGATGCTACTGGGCATTGGAATTCTAAGTTCACAAAGAGATGGGCCATGATCATCAAAAACACATGCAAGCTGAAATCAGGGGGGTAGAAACTAGGAGCTAGGCAAAAATGGTGCAGATTCAGAGAGAAGAGATAGAAGGCAGAGAAAGACAGAAACAGAGATGGGGGAGGGAGAAAGGGGGGGAGAGAGATTGACGGCTTTCCAGTTCCCTTGAACTGAGAACATGCATCAGATCAAATGCATGTCCTAGAAGTGGTCTTGTGAGATTTCTCTCTTTGTATCGTAAATTCCCCCTCCTTTTTAAATGGACTTGTCTTTTTTGCTTCTGAAGAATCCCTTATTAAGACATAATCTAATATGATTCCAAAAACACTGTCATGGTTGTACAGTAAGATAGCTCTGGGCAGTCTTGATATTTTCCTTCTTTCTCTCCTTTTAATATCAATAAAATTATGCCCATGAGTGCGTGCCTCTGAGAATATAAAGAAAGCTTTGCATCACAAAGAAGACAGAAATAATCTTGTCATTTCCTTTTTAGAGCCTACCCTGACCTGCTCAGTGGTTACTCCTTGACTTTTGAGTAAGCAACTTCTTGACTCAGGTAAACAATGTGTGCATGTGTGTGTATGTGTGTGTGTGTGTGTGTGTGTGTGTGTGTGTGTACATGTGTTAGTATAAATAATTCCTAAATACTGTATGAGATTTATTTATACTAAATTTTCTCAATTGCTTGCCAGAAATTCAAGTTTAACTAGGTATCCTGTAGTTTTATTTGTTAAATCTGATACTTTATGGATGTCATTCCATTGCATGGGGATAAGACCTCTTTTTTATTTTATTATTTATTTATTTATTTAGAGGTTTTTGCTATAGGGTGCATGTGCTCGCTGGGAAGACAGAGAGAGACAGAGAGACAGAAAGTGAGAAATCACCACCCAGGGGGGATGGCCACACTGCAATCCCTTCTCCTCCATTCTCCTCTCGGGATCTTGGGCACACACGCACATGCGCCTGGCATGTGTTTAAGACAACAAGTCCGAGACTCGAACTGCGGTCAACTACGTGGGAGTCCAGCGACATAGCCATTACGCCAACTACTGGTCCCCTCATTTATTTTAGAAATCTGTCTAATACCACAATTATTTCTTGCTCTTGTCATACAACATTTGTTTACTAGACCCTGGGCACTTGGAAGGGAGGGATTATGTTTTATTTTCCTCTGAATCTATACACCCTAACACAATGCCTGGAACAAATGTTTTCTTGAATAGAACGATACTAATTCTTAGGCCTCATTTGCAAAGTCTAGTTGAGGCCAGCAGGTTCATTGGCCCCAAGTTAACATTTAGAGGCTTAGAGAGAGTCCTGTAGTGGGTTCTATGATCTCAGGGCCATCCTGACAGAGCTGCGTCCAGAACTTCTCAAGCAAATCTATCTGAGAAATCATGTGCCGTACCTTGCAGATGTCACTCCATTGGCCAGGACCGTTGTTGTTGATGGCTCTAACTTTAAACAGATATTCGGTGTTGGGTGTCAGGTTGTGCAGCTCCAGATTCTGCTGCATTATGTCCCGAATTTGCCCACAGAGCTCTGTCCGCACATTGTTAGGAGACGAAGTAACGAGTTCATAGAATTCCATCTCAAAAGAGTCCACGTCTTCTGTTGGGCATGTCCAGTAAACCTATGGGAGATGTGAATATATCAGTGTGGCCCTTGCACACACCATTCAACTTTTTTTTTTTCCCACAAAGATACATGTAGTTGAGTATCTGTTGGGTGAAATCCCCATCCCTTGTAGCTGCTGTTAACTCTGAATTAAACCATGTGTGACAGTCTTGGGAAGCCGCGTCATGGGGCCTGGCATGATACTTGTAATGAGTTTCAAGAGCAGAAGAATATTCCTCTGGCTTCTATTACTATCACTCATCATGGGGGTGATGATTATCCTCCTGACATGACTAACCAAAGTAGCTACCATTTACTGAACTCCTATCATACATTGGATTTTGTGTCATGTATTACTATCCCTAACTCATTTAATCTTTACAATCCCCTGGAAGATAGATTTATTATTCCATTTTACAGATGAGGCTCAAAAAGATTACATTTAGCAAATCCCAGTAGAATCATAGAACACTAGAAGATGAAAAATGTATTCAGAATCCTCTATGTTATTTGCAATGATATAAAGTCCAGAGAGGTGATATGATTTATTCAAGTAATAGAGAGTATATGTTTACATTCGAAGCATAAATTATCAAGTCCTGGGAAGAGGGATATATTAATAAGTGCCAATTAATAGGTGGTGTCCAAAATAAATATATTTTATAATTATGCTAGTTGTATTTTTAAACAGATAGCTTGTGTTTTTATTATCACCTTCATATATTTAAATGAGTTTATAAAATTAATTTATAATTTGGATATATAAACATTTTGATTTCTATATTTCTATAATTATGATTTCCTTTATATACACCCTAAACTTTTTATACACTTATAAACATTTTAATTTTTTTCCTGACTACTAAAAAATAATACTTATTGTCACGTACTTAAAAAACACAAGAAAATGCATAGGACAAAAACAAATATCACTCATAATCCCATACTTCAGCTAATTCATTGTTAGTTCTCTGTAATTTTTGAATACCCAGAAATATAAATACATTTAATGAATTATATTGCTTTGATTCCTGCTTTCTTTTACTTACTGATAAATGATAAAACTAACTTAAAAAATATTTTCCATGCCAAAATCCTAACTATTTGAGAGAGACAAGAGATGTCAACACAGATTTCATCTGCATTACCAAGCAGTATGATTGCTACTTAAAGGCCACAGTTCTAATACAAAGATCAGTATATATAAAAATATATTTACATTGAATACCATCGTCTGACAGTAGGTTTAGTTGTCCTGTCTTGATAATCAACGACTTAACTAGGTTGTTCTGTGTAGGTCCCTTTCTTGAGTACATCCAGGGACAACTAGTAGGTAGAATGGGGTGATTATTCTCCAAGTCCAACTATAGAGCAGACACCACTAGTCTTTTTGCTCCAGAGCAAAATCCTGCAAACTTGGAAGAGATCTGAGTTGACATGGACATGGGATATACTGCCACCCCTGAGCTAATATCACATGCACTGTAGGCCTTGTTGATCTAATATCATTTGGAAACATAGTTCAGTTGCTCATTTACAAGCATCTTGTACGTAAAGGATGAGAAACTTTGTCATGTAGGATAGCTGATAGGAGGGCATGTTCTACCTTGCAAATTATGTTCTTTCTTGGTGTGACCAAGACATAGACTATGGTGTCTCAGGAAAATGGAAAATAGAAAAGTAAAGCTTGATCTGTATCTTGCCTTAGTCTTCTTGTTTTTAGATTCCTGATGCTAAAGTATGGTCTGCAGATTGCATCATCGGCAATACCCAGAAGTCTGTGAGAAACAGAATCTTGGGTCCACTGAAACTTACTGAAACAGAATCTGCATTTTAGCAAGATCTCCCTGTGGATATTAACTTTGGAAACCACTAGTCCAGAGCAAAAAGTTTCTGGAGGGGGTATTCTCAGATTATGGGGGCAAAAGATGGGCTTTTCCATAGGGAAGCAGTCCATGGAGTGGCTTGGGAGGTGGCCTGTAGGGAACCTCAATAAGAGACAAGATAAACTGTGGTAGTATCCAGCTGCTTGTTAATATTTTTTCCTTCCTGCATTTAAATAAAGTATCCCACAAATAGTCTAGTTTAGATTTAGTTGGATTTGAAAGGTATGTTAAAGTGGAGATTAATAAGTAGAGGTACATGTCAGATCAAGATGGTCAAAGGACAGTGACGTCTTTTGAGGCCAGGTGATGGCAGTTGGGGGGTCTGTGAGAGACTATCCTCTCTACTTTCTACCTCCAAATAAAATATCAGGAGATAAGAGCTGGAATCCCTTTAGGAATTTTCCTTCCAAACCAGGAAAAGTTTGAATCTTGTCTTTAGGGAAGGCAGCAATTCAGAGGACTTACAGCTGATTCACAATGGAGCCTGTATTTCTCATTCCAATTTCTACACTCTATCTATTACAGGCATTCCTTTGGGAAATGTTACACTAGCCAAGTAGTTTCTTCAAATTACTTTGGTTCTTCACTTGAGTTTTCTTTCAATAGACAAGTTGTCTTTGAAGTGGGAGTGTGCCTTCTCAATGTACATATTTCTGACTAGGAAGGAAATATGTCTGCTGTTTGATTTAAGCCAACTTGGGTTACTGAAGGGTACAGGAACGTATCCCTTTTGAATTGAATGACCACAGGAGTCCAGAGAAGCATATTTGAATGACTAGACCCTAGAGGTCAAAGAGGTAAGTGCAGCTCTTCCTGACTACCTACTTCCTTTCTGTGACCCTCACATTACCACCTCCCTCATGGGGCCCAGAGTCTTTCTTACCTTGGCAGCTCTTGGGTATACTAGAGTCTGGTAGATAACAATTGGGCCTGGGGTCTTCACAGAGCCCTCATTGAATGAGTACCAGTTGTGGAAACTGCTGCTATTCTGTGCAGGTTGGCTTTCTGCTGTGGCACTCCAGTAGGTGTAGAGGCTGTCATTTGGTTTGGAGGGTGAGACTGACTGGGCTCTTCCATTGGCCTCCAGACCCATCTTGGTCTTCTCGCCAATGGTGTTGAAGGACAACAAAGAAGAGCTTCGTTGGTATATCTGCTGGTTGCCAAAGCTGTGGGTGCTGAAAGTGACCTTCCTGGCAATCATCATTTCTGAGTGCATGGGATAGGGGGAGGGCGAAGAGTCTCCTGAGGAGCATACCTTCTTAGGTCCCGTGGGGAAGAGCTCATGGATAGCACTGGAGAGCTCTGCAAAATCCAAAGGCATGCAATTCATTGAGTGTAGCCGGAGCTGTGGGTCAGGCCTGTAAGTGCTCTGGATGCCATCTTCAATCTGGTCTACTAGAATCTTGGCAGACTGTAGGAATGCCACTTGGCCTGTCTCCTTCAGAGCTTCCTTGGAGTAGGCTATCAGGCCATCCATTTCATTTACTTTCAGGGTTGTGACATACACGTATTTTTCAATCTCCTTCTGCCTGGACACTTCTAGATTCTCTATTTGTTCCATGATGGATTTCTCTTTCTCCTGAAGAATACTGCGCAGCTTGAGAAACCCGTTTCTGATCTCTTTTCGTTTTACCTCTTTGTCAGATTTAAAGCTGTTTTTTAAAATGTTGAATTCCATTAGGTCATTATCAATTTCATATCGGACTGTAAAACAATCAAGTTAATTACTGTTAAAATGTTCATCTTCTCAGATGTCAAAACCAATTGCAAACTATAGCAAATTACTTTGGGCTCTAAGAAAGTAAGAAAGGGAGGGAAGATACTTTGGTTGGGTTAAACAGGCTGAAATAGGTTTATGAGGTGACTCTGGCCTAACTCAGTACTCTTCTCCCTTCCTCCACCCCTACCACTTCCCTCAGGTATAACTAGTCATCCTTCCCTAGCATTCTCCTCTCTTGTAACAGGAGACCTGTAGCCTTGAGTCTAAGACTGGAAGTTCAAGACCACCCTCAGTAGTGGTTTCCACCAGATTTCACTTATCTGCAAGTTGGACTTGAGAAGAGGTAAAGTCACAAAGTGACGGAGCCCTGCTTTTCCTTGTAGGAAAGCTAATATTCTGAAGGAGTAGAAGCTTCTGATGACTACTTTAAAATTCTGCCTTGGGACGAGCAGATGGCATAGTTAGTGGTTAAGGACTGGGCACCCACATGGCTGATGGTGGTTCAACTTGAACATCACACCAGGTGCATGTGTGTGCATGCCCAGAACCCCAGAAGGAGAATGGAGAAGAAGGGAGTGGGGCATGGCCATCCCCCCTGGTGGGGTGATTTCTCACTTTCCGCCCTCACTGTCTTGTTCTGGTGAGTGACATGCTCTCTAAAAATAAAAATTCTACCTTTCCTCATTTACGGATAGTCCAGTGTTAAGACAACAGTGGGAGACCCGCAAAGTTCTCCTCCCTTGGTGTTTCAGCTTTGTTGCCTCTCTTGCCCTTCCCCTATCCCTTTTCAAGAAAGAGTCTGCTGTTGCAGTTTAAGGATGACCAATTCACGCTGGAACCTCTCACATGGTATTTGGAGTTCAGTCAGTCAGTCTTTCAATGAACATGTATTGGACCTGTTCTAGACTGCATGCCTTTACAGGTACTAGGGATACAGGTATGAATAAGAGAGGGTGCCTTTGTTCAAAATACTTGTAAATCTTTCAATATTGTGGTCGAAGGATGCTATGGCAGAATAAGTGCGTGCACATCTCCACCTGTGAAATCAACACTTTTGTTGGCTCTAAATTGTTTCGGGCATTAGACAGCAATTTGAAGACTGTCAACTTGCTTCAGTATAGGACATATCTTCTGTAAACCTATGTTATAGATAAGGCCCTTCCCAGGCCAACTCTGTAGTGAACTGATATGCTATAATCATACCAAATTTTACTCAGGAGTGAGGTGGCCAAATAGTTTTGTACTCGGTTCTTAATCTCATCCTGGGTCCTTAGGATGCTGGACTTCTACTAGAGGTCCCATAATGCAGCAGTTAAACACTGTGCATAGGGAACCTGATCCCACATGACTGACCATGATTCAAATCCCAGCTCTGAGGCTTACTGGGCATGTGTGTACTTATGGCTAAAATTCTGAAGGGATGAAGAAATGGAGAAAAACAGGGACCACAGCTGACTGGGTTGTCCCTACAACTAGGGTGTGCAGAGGTGATCAGAAGGTGTTTATTGAATGAAAGCTGTTCTTTCCTGTTTTCTAACATCTCCAGAGTGAATGTCAACACTGTTCCTCTCTGGCCAGCACCCCGAAGTCCTCTTTTCCTCTGCACACCTCCTCTCTCACATTGGCCCAGGAGGAATGAGGCAATGCAGGTGGGAGCTGAGTGGGAAAGTACTAGCATGTAATTTCAGTGGTGTGAGAAGTGCTCCTTCCCCATCCCAAATACAAGTCCTACTGTGACTTATGGTAGCTGAAATCCCACTTTATGCATCAGTATCTCTGACTATTCAACAGTTACCCACTGTCAGAGATACTTGGCTAGGGAATTCCTTGCTTTGTTAGGGATTAGTTAAGCTCATATAGAGCAAAGTCCTGAGAGGTAGGATGAAAGTCTCTTAGATGAGAAGGAAGAGGCAGTGTCAGGAGAGAAAGAAAAAGAGGAAGCCAGAAGTGCCCCCACTCCCAAACCTTACAAATATGACAGCTTTGCAAGAGCTGATCTTGCAGCAAAGTCAAACCAAGTTCTCTTTTAGGTGATGTACTTACAATTAGCTACTATTTATTAAAAATTTATATGGACCAGATCCATATATTATCATCTATTACACATGTCATGGACCAGATCCATATATTATCATATATTACATATATCTTCCCACCTAGGCAAAGTTAAGACTCTCACTAAACAGATCACTCCAAGCCATTTTCTCCAGCAGTTCCTGAATCAGGGATGACTCTGGAGGGATAGAGGAGGGGACTAAGACCTGCTTTGAACTTGGCAATGGCACTGAAGAGTGCAGCGGCCCTCTCGGAGCAGGCGTCGATGAGGCTGATGGTGTCGTGGCCACTGTGGAAAGCGATCTTGCAGAAGGTGCAGAGCAATTCGTTGTCGCTGCGGCAGTACTCGTTGATACGGCTGGATGGGTGGTGGATGCAGATCTTCTCATCCTGGTCCTCGGCACTGGTGTCCACAAAGACATGGTCCTGCATGGCCACGTCCGAGTGGAAGGCCTTGAGGCAGTCATTGCATAGGTTGAGGCGGCAGGTGATGCAGCGCTTGTAGGCAATGCGACGGCTGCGGCAGACCTGGCAGAGGATGGGTCCGGAGGAGCGGTCGAAGCGCCACTTGAGGTAGCCGTGCTGCTGCATGTAGCGCTTGGTGAGGCGCCCGCGCAAGTAGTTCTCGGGCAGCTGCATCTTGTGGCTGTAGGGCATGCAGTGAGAGCGGTTGCACACTGGGCAGATGAGGATGAAGAAGTTCTCGGTGACCTCGGCGTGCTTTTGCAGCTGCCGCAGGCACTTCTCACACAGGCTGTGGTTGCAGGGCAGCATAAACGAGTGCAGACGCAGCCGGCCGCACATGGGGCAGGAGAGATGGTTGACCAGGTGGCTGCTCGCTGGCATAGATTTCAGCTCATCGATCCTCGTGTCACTGCTCCCAATGTGCAGCGCGGTCTTGGAGCTGAAACGAGAAGCAAATTCAGGGCTTCAGGGCCAGACTCAAGAACTTCGTTTGCCTCCAGGACCGTGAAAGAACTTCCGGTCACTGAGAGGAAGTCAGTCCATGCGGTGATGAGCAGCGTGAACCTGGCTATGAACTTGCTTCCGCCATCTTTTAGCGGGAGGACCACTGGATGACCTCAGGTAAGTTAATTAACCTCTCTCTGCCTGTTTTCTTATAAAGTTACTATCTGTATCATAGACTTTCTTGTTGAGAATTAACATAGAATTTAATACCTGTAAGGCCAGAGAGCAGTCCCTGGAATACATTAAGTGCTCTACAATGGCTTTTTGTCATTTTTGAGTGAAAAAATGATAACAAAAACAACGAAAAAGTCAGCTAGACCTTGGTGTTCTGTTGGACCTCAATTCCAGACAGAGCACCAACACCAGACAAGGCCACTCTACCTCTGATGGCTCAAAGCAGTAATAAGACCCCTTCATAATATTTGAACTTAGGCAAGAACTTTGTTCAAACCACAAAAATGACCAACCATCTTGCTCCTAGTCAATGGGAGGGACTATGCTTTTTTCCCTTTCTTTTACCAATCAGAGCTAGAGGCTCATTCTGTTCTCATCTTCTAGAAAGATTTGTTAACATGCCCAGTAGGAAATTTACCCCACATCCTTACCTAATATGATTCAAATCCTGTGACAACTTACTGGTACCTCTTATTGAGCAACCTCACCCTTGTCTGTAGTATATATTCACATTTGTTGCAATGAATCAATAAATTCAGTCTTGTCCCAACCTAGTTGTGTTCTCAGTGGTTTTTATCTGATGGGTATTGACATTATTAATATTATCATATTAGGATAGAACACAAGAGAGTAGAAAAGTGTCTTTCCTAGGACATTAGTAGGTCAATGCCTAAATCAGGCCTAGAACCTGTGTTATCTTATTACCAGATTATTACTATTATAGTATTAATAATAAGTAATGGCTGAGGGTCTGGGCCCTAGGGGTAGGCTGTGTAAGATGAAATGCACTTTAGAGGTGCACCTTGGAGATGAGTACCTTTACCCTGCTCACCCTCCGTTTTCTTGTCTGTAAATCAAAGCTCACACTACTACTGCCTCTGTGAGGGTTTTAGAGTTTAAACGAGATAATCCATGATAAGTGCTTAACTTTTGGTTTACAGTAAGCATTCTCCAAATATGGCCCCTTCTGTTACTAGCCAGCTAATTTTCACAGCAGAAGAGGAAACCACAGTAGAAGGAAATAGTGGTCAAGTCCATACACTAGGGTGTGTATGTTCTTTCTTGTCTACTGTCTGAGGCTGATTTCAAATATTTAATTATAAGAACTATGAAAGAATTAAAAGCATATTTGTAAAATTCAAGTGCATGTTCTAAGAAGTAACAATCAGGGCAGAAAGAGTGTATGAATATAGATGAATATAGATGCAGTGGTTAATGTGCTGCTCAAGAGAAGCCAGATCCCACATGGCAACCATAGTTCAAGTCCCTGACCCAGTCAGCCTGAAACATGTGGGGCTTGTGCAGGATGTCCAAGATTTAATGGACCTGAGGATTGGAGGATAGGGATTATGGCATGGCCAGTCCCTGGGGAGGGGGAGGGTTGCTTCTCTCTCTCTCTCTGTCTTTACCTTCTTTTTCTCTGATTTTCATGTGTGTATGCATGTGCACTCTCTTTATCATGAATAAAAAAAATAAATGAATGAACTGTGGGAATGGAGGTATAAACAAACCCACAATTTGTCGCTGTTTTTATCTCTTCTCTTTTGCTCACATTAGTGATGTTTGAGTGTTGCTCTTGACATCATAGCTGTGTTTATTCTCCTTTTTTCCTTCACGTGTTTTCTATATTTCCCAGTATCTTTCTGCACTCTCTTGGCCAGGGACATATGTCTTAGAGCCTAAATAGTCAAAGGTGCTTTCCAAGCACACTGAAAATGGAATGGTCCCGTAGTGTGTAGGCTAGAGTGTAGTGTCCCCTAGAGTGTAGGCTCAGACCTGAAAAGCTCGTCCCTTAAGGATTTGATTGCTGGGCTCCAGGCCAGCCAATCTCAATATTCTCAGCTTTCTCACTTCCTTGCTTTTCTAGCTTTCTGCTTGGGCAGTGGGTCATCTGGAGGTGCAGGTCAATTGTACATGTGGTTGCTGAATGGAATACTGTAGTCTGACAAAAAGGTAGGACTCTGGGAATCAAGGAGCAATGTTAAAGGGAGGGGAGAAAGCCTAAGTAATCAGTAAAAATGGATACAGGGAGGAAGGTGATGCAGCAAGAGAAAGAAAGCACAGGACTAAGAGACAGATGTCAATGACCAGTGAGCTGTGGTAGAGGTGACAAGGAAGTGAGAAAAAGAGTAGGATCCAGAGGGATGAATGAGGCCAGAACGAAAGAGGCAGAGCAAGCTGCTGAGCGAAAAGTGATGTAAGAGGCAGGAGAGGCCTGGTGGAAGACGACGTCTGTGTACCCTTGACGCTCATCAAGGCATACCCGCCCATTCTCCAAAAGCCTCCAGTTTGCACTAGACACGAAGTGACCATGGGCCTATTCCAAACAGTCATCAACAGGCTGCCCAGCAGCTTTGTCTTGTTTAAAAATATTAGTAGTTGAGGAATATTTTGGGGTGATTTCACTGCACATCAAAGTTTGGAAACTCTGATGGCTTAAATCATCTTTTCAAAGCACCAATTTCAACCTTCCCCTGTCGAAATGGGGTCAGTGACTGTTCACTGGCAACGTGCAGAGAATAGGGCAATTGAGAAGAGGGGCAAGTATAGACGCTACTTTTCACACATTAGAATTTCTGGACTTGCAGCCAGATTCTCTGGATTCTCTATTCATGCAAATCTTGAGAGGACCATGGGTGAGGATTAACATTTATTAAGCATCTACTGAGGGCTTAATTCCAAGATGGACCCTATCCTTCCCCTGCATTTACCAGACCTGGGCTCACAGAATTTCTTTTCCAGCTTTGGAAGCCTTCCAACTTGCCTCTCATTTTTCTGCCTTCTATAATTTTGGCATTTTGGAGTGCTGAGCTATGATCTTCCCCCCATAAGTCTTCCCTGTTATTTTGGGCTCAAGTGTGATGTGAAAAGTCTAGTTTTGCAGAGCAGGAAAAGGATATGTAGTGCCTGATAGATGGAGGACTCATCTCTGAATGAGTAATTGAGACCCTGAGTGCCATGACTTCTGGATGGGAAAGAAGAGAAGGCTAGAAAGAGTTCATTTAGGGGCCAGCAGGTGGCATGGTAGTTACGGTGCTAGACTCTCAACATGGCAAATCACAGTTTGAGTCCCAGACCTGGTAGCTTGCTTTGTCACTTTTTCTCGTGAGTGCATGTGCCCTATAGCAAACTAAAAAATAGGAATAAATAAAGTAAAATAAATAATTCTTTTTTAAAAAAGAGTTCATTTAAGAGGGTCTGGGGTACTTATTTATATAGATCATTGGGACTCAAAGTTCTTACGTTTCCAATGAATGTTGCAAATAACAAGAGTTCCTTTTGTATTGTATGACAGATGACAAAATACACATGTTAATCTTCATTCCTATCATATTATGGCAGATATTATTGACTCTATTTTGTAGACCAGCATTTTAAAGTTAACAGCACAAACAGGTTCAAATCCTGACTCTGCATCTTACTAGCTGTACAATCTTGGGTAACTTAACCTCTCAAAGGTTCCGTTTCCTCTTGGCTATGATGGGCATGTGTATGGGGAAGGTGGTTAACTGTGTTCATGCCTGCAGAGGTTGGAAAATTGCTTAGGCACTGAGCATTAGCTGCTACTATTCTGTACAGACAAGAGAGCTGGGGTTCAGAAGAGTGATGTGCTCGTTTACATAGCAGAGCTTGGACTTAGAACTCAGGGTCTGTGCACAGTTAGTGACTGTTTAGAATACACTTCATTGCTATACAGTTTTTGGCCCCCCTTTTTTTTTCAGATAGGCAAGTGGACTCAGGGGAACACCGGCCTGGCCTGTAGACCCCACAGCTGGCACAGGGTTCCGTCTTGCTGAGCCAGTGTGCTGCCCAGCACTTACGAGGTGCGGATGCTTCTGAGGCGGCCCCTGCGGAAGGTGATCGTGACATTGCGGCAGCAGCGGCTCTCGTAGTAGTAGCACTTGACATTGCTGCTGGCGGTGCAGCAGCACTTGCAGTTGGGATCATTGGCCCAGGAACAGCAACACCAGTGGCAGTTAGGGTTCTCGGCACAGGTGCAGTGGCAACACTGGCAGTTCCGCTCGTCTTTGTAGGGGCAGGGGAAGCAGGTGCAGTTCCGCTCTGAGGTGAAGATGAACTTGCAGCACAGACAGGAGCATAACTGAGGACAACATCTCTCCCATGTACAGCATGGAGAGCAGACACACATGGCAGTCTCCATGGCGCCTACATGGTTGCCACCTGCCCCCTAGGGCTCTTGACACGTCCTCTACCAGAATCTTGCTGTCAGTCCTCCAGTGACGGGGGCCCTCCTCCTCCTCCTGGTGAGGCCGTCAGCTTGGGAGTTGCAAGAAGCTGACCTTTAGGAGGCCTTCACAGGTGGTGTCCCTTCCTATGAGGAAGCTCGTGGGCTGGCATTGACCTATATCAGTCTGAGGGCATCTGCTTATGTCACAATTGCTGTCTCCCCACCATATCTCACCATGCTGGATAGATAGGAGGATGAGACTTGGAGGGTGTTGGGAAGTGGGTTGATGGACACCCCATGCTTCCGTAGGACCAGCTTCAGAGGAATGGTGAGCCTTCTGGAGATTTGGCTGTCCTTTGTCACCTTTTGGGTAGATTCCAGAAGCTATTTCTCTTTGCCTGAAACTTGGGCAACTTGATTTCAGGGTGTGTCTTCATAGATTGAAAGGCCTGGGCGTGATTAATTGGAAAAGTAGATCGACAGGATTTTCCTCTCCACAGGCTTTTCTTGTATGGATAGAACTCTTTATTTGATAACAAATTGCAGTGTTTACAAATAATAGCAATGACACATTTAAAGAGATATGACCCTTTGGAGAAAGGATGAAAGGAACAAAGGACATACGTTTCCTCGGCCACTTCTGGCAGTCATTGATTTTGTCATTGCTGCATGGTCACTGCTTGTTTTCATGAGGCTTCATGCACACATTACTCTATTTCTTAGCTTGTCTATGGCTTCATGGACATTTGGCTGGGGCTCTGTTTCCTTCCCTCCACCCTAATCTAACCACTGCATCCCTTTAATCAAGAGGCTAGAACTGCATGTGAGAATTTAACTGTTCTGCTACTATATGCTCCAGCTCCTTAGAAACAAGACTATCTATTTTAGAGAGATTTTCACTTTCCACTTTACGCAGCTTGCAGAGATTAAAACAGCAGAAATTTCACAGTCATCCCTCACCGTAGTATGAACACTGTCTCATTATCTTTCCAAAAAGGAGCAGAAGTGAGAGCTGAATTTGGCCACAGGCGTTTATTGCATAATTTAATCTCTCTCCCTATGACTATCACCTTTATAAGAAATTATTCACTGAGTGTAACAGGGCCAGCTACACATAGATTTTAGGTTGCTAGAAATGGAAATCTTAGATCTCGGTGTAGGTATGCTGTCTGTTTTGAGAGATACTACTAAATTGCTTTCTCAGATGAATGTCTTAGTTTACATTAACATCAGTAGCAGATGAGAGACACATTTTCCCCACATACTTGTCTGAACTCGATTTTATCAAAATTCTTCCTCAATGTTCAGGCACAGAAGGTCAAGTTGCATTTCCACATTTATGGTGCATTTTCATCATTGGTCTCTGTATGCTCTCTCTCTTTCTATGTATGTATGTATGTATATATATATATATAAAACTGAGATATACTTTACATACCATAAATTCACCATTGCAGTGAATGGTTTTCAGAACATTCATACAGTTATACAACTATCACTACTGTCCAATTTCAAAACATTTTTATCACACCCAAAAGACACCTGGTGGCAGTAACTCCCCACTCTCTCTTTCCTTCAGCCTTTGGCAAACAATCTACTTTCGCTGTTTATGGGTCTGCCTATTCTGGACATTTCATATAAATGGAACTAGATAATATGTGGGTTTTGTGTCTACCTTTTTTACTTAACATGATATTTTCAAGGTTCATCCGTGTTGTACCATGTATCAATATTTAATTTTTTAGTGGCTGAATAATAGCATATGGATATAGTGCATTTTGTTTAATCAGTTGTGGGTTGATGGATATTTGGATAGTTTCCACGTTTTTGCTATTATAAATGAATTTTTTATTTAAAAATTTTGTAAGTTACACTACTCACTATACCTCTTTACTGTGAGCATTTGTGTACAAGCTTTTGTATGAACATGTTTTCAAATCTCTCGGGTATAAACCTAGGAATTGAATTGCTGAGTCATATGGTAACTCTGTTGAGCTTTTTGAAGAAATGACAAATGGTTTCCAAAGTGGTTGCACAATTTTACATATCAACTAGCTATGTACGAGAGTTACAATTTATTTACTTTCTTACTAATATTGTTAGTGTCCTTTTTCCCTCCTGACTATAGACATCATAGTTGGTATGAAGCAGAATCTCATTGTGGTTAGATTTAAATTTTTCTGATGAGTAATGATGTCGAGAATCTTTCCCTGTGCTTATTGGCTATTTTTATATTTTCTTTGGAGAAATATCTATTTAATTTCTTTGTCCATTTTTAAAATAAAGCTATTTTAATTTTTATTGCTAAGTTCTAAGAACTGTTTTTAGAATCCAGGTACTAGTCCCTTACCAGATAAAGGATTTGCAATAATCTCCATTGTATAGGTTGTAGTATTATTTTTTTAATTGCTGGAGGGAGGAGTGTGTTCTTATCAGAGACATACAGACACAAAGAGAGAGAAAATGCACCCCTCTAATGGGGAATGGTTATAATGCAATTTCTTCTCCATTTCTCCATCCTGTCAGGATGTTGGGGATATATATACACACACTCCCAGTGTGTTTTTCAAGCCACTGGTGCTGGGATTTGAATTGTGGTCAGCCATGTGGTATTTGGCTCCCTTAACCACTAGGTCATAGGGACAGTCCTATTTTCATTTTTCTATAGTGTCCTTTGAAGCACAAAATTTTTTTGATTTTATCTTTTGTTTTGTTTTGTTTTATTGCCAAAGGATACATGTACTTGTGAGTGAGAGAGAGAGAAAGCACCTTTCAATGAGGCATGGTCATACTGCAAACTCTTCTTTTCCATTTCTCCATTCAGTTGGGATTTTGGGAATGCATGCACATGCAAGTTACCAGGATTGGGATTCAAACTTGCGGTTGGTCATGTGGGGTCTAGTTCCCTTAACTGGATTATAGGACTGGCCCAGGTTTTTATTTTGATAAAGCCTGATTTATTTATATGTATATTTAGTAGCTTGCCCTTTTGATGTGACTTAAAATACTGCCTAATCCAGTCATAAAGATTTATATCAATGTTATTTCTTAATAGTTTTATACTTTGAGCTCTTACATTAAGGTCTTTGATTCATTTTGAATTAATTTTTGTATTTGGTGGAAGGTAGGAGTTCAGTTTCATCCTTTTGTATGTGTACGTTTAATTTCTCTAGCACCATTTGTTAAAAAGACTAAATTTTCCCAATGAATGGTCTAAAATCCTTGTTAAAAATCAGTTGATTATAGGCATATGTTTACTGGACTCTAAGTTATATTTCTTTTATCTAAATGTCTATTCTTATGCCAACCACACTTTTTTTTTTGAGAGGTTTTTGCTATAGGGCATATGCGCTTGCCAGAAAGAGAGAGAGAGAGAGTGCGCTGGCGAGAGAGAGAGAGAGAGAGAGAGAGAGAGAGAGAGAGAGAGAGAGAAATATCACCCTCCAGGGGGATGGCCACGCTGCAATCCCTTCTCCTCCATTCTCCTCTCGGGATCTTGGGCACACATGCACACGTGTCTGGCGTGAATTTTAGCCACTGGGTCTGGAACTCGAACTGCTGAGTTCAGCGCCATAGCCATTACACTAACTGCTTGTCCCGCCAACCACACTGTTTTGATTATTGCAGCTAGGTAGTAAGTTTTGAAATTTCTCCACTTTTGTTTTTTGAAGATTGTCTTGGATAGTCTGTATTCCTTGTATTTATCCCTATAAATTTTATGATCAACTCTACTGTTTTGCACAAAGGTTCATTAAAATCTTGGTAATGATCACTTTGAATTTGTCTACCAATTTGAGAAATATTGCCATCTTATTAAGGGTGTCAGTTCATGAACATGAAGTATTTTCCATTTACTTAGGTCTTTAATTTCTTTCAATGATATTTTGTAGTTTTCAGTACATAGGTCTTACACTTTTATGGTCAAGTTTATTTCTAAGTATTTTATTCATTCGATGCTACTATAGATGGAATTGTGTGTGTGTGTGTGTGTGTGTGTGTGTGTGTTTCCTTTAAAATATGTTTTTTTTAATTGCCAGAAGGTGCCTCAGGGGTCAGAATTTGAACTACAATTGGTCGTGTGTGATTCAGCTTCTTTAAACACCAGGCTAGGATATGGCTGGACCTAAAAGAATGGTTATGATGGACATAAACTTGTTTTTAAAAACTTATTACAAGTTTAAAAACTTTTAATGTAATTGTTATTTTTTCTTTTTTATTACTTTAAAAAAATTTACATTTGGGGACCAACGGTCGGCGTAACGACTATGTCCCTGGACTCCCATGTAGTCAACTGTGGTTTGAGTCCCAGATTCGGTGGCTTAAAAATCGCACCAGGCTCATGTGCATGAGTGCCCAAGATCCTGAGAGGAGAATGAACGAGAAGGGATTGTGGTGTGGCCATCCCCCTGGGAGGTGATTTCTCATTTTCTGTCTCTCTGTCTCTCTCTGTCTTTTTGGCAAGCATATGTGCCCTATGGCAAAAACCTCTCTAAAAAAATATTATAATCACTGTATATCTTTATAGCATACAAATCTATTATTCCCAGCATGAGTACCATCTATATCAATCAAGTCAAAGATATTAGATCATTGGGAAAGTCATGAGGTATTCTTTCATTTCTCTATGCAAAAATGTGTCATGACTTTCCTGACAACCCAATATTACCATACACATTATTATCAACAGATACCATTTTATTTTTTGTATCTGTTAGATTCTTCTCTTTTTTGCCTCCGATTCCTTCCCTGCCAACATTACCTAACCCCTCCTGTACTGTCTTTAGCATAAACAGTTGCCTTCTCTGCCATTATACCCTCCAATCTTTCAGTTTTTACCAGAGTGCATATTCAGTGGGGGCATACAATGCTTGTGTTTCATAGTCTAGCTTGCTTCACTTAACACTAAATCTTCAGTATTTGTTCACTTTCTATCAAATGTCAAGGTTGCATAGATCTTTATGGCAGAGTAGTATTTCATAGTATGTTAGTGCCACAATTTTTCAATCCATTCATCTGTTCTTGGATGTTTGGGTTGATTATATGTCTTAGCAGTTGTGAATAATGCTGAAGTAAACATGGATGTGCAAGTGTCTTTCTGACTTTGTGTTTTATCCTTTGGGTAGATACCTAGGAGTGGAATTACAGGGTCATAT